CATAGGGGCATTTGCAGAGAGAACAAAAAATAAAGTAAAAATGGTGGTCACAAATACACAATTGAACCCTTGATCTTACATCTGAAAAGATGTGTGTTGATAATAAAAGTAATTTACCTATTTCATTTTCACTATAGATAGCAGCAGCTTTTATGGAATGAATTCAAGCTGAACATTTTGTATAGAAGTACATTTTATATATTACTCAGTATGTCTTTCAACTTAGTCACTTTGGAAAAAAGGGCCATTTTTTTTGTCATCAGAGAAGTTGCTTGCCTTGTCATATCTAATTTTTAACTATCTGGTTAACTTTTAACTGTTTGGAAGGGCTAAGGATTCCTCTTCTTCATACAAGATTCATGGGACATGGACAAGCCAGCAGCCTTCTTGGTGGTGGCCCCCATATTAAGGAATGTATTATTTTGATTAGGAAGTTCAGAAATCACTCTCCCTTTCTGTATTCAATAAGAGGGTAGAAACATTATTTTTAAGCAATATTTGGTATTCAACTGATTGGTGCATAGGCATTCCTCTAGATGTATATTACTGTTACATTTCTAATAAGCTGATTATGTTATTTTTTGTTTCTTCGTTGTACCTCACCCACAGTGGTAAGATTGGAGTTGTTGAACAGTATAATAAATACATACTATCTATAATTTGGCAACCTGGCAACATATTAATAACACATATACAATAGTAGCGATCCCTAACCTTTCTGGTTTCATGGACCAATGGCGACGGCGGGGGTGGGGGGGAGAGATGGTTTTGTGGGCGTGCCTGCTGCTTGTGCAAATGGAGTTTCACATGCTCACCCACTGCTTGCACGAACCAGTTGCCAACAGGCCACAGATCGGTACCGGTCTGCTGACTGGGCACTGGGGACTCCTGCACTATATAATTCAGTGTTTATAAAAACTAGCCTTTTGACATCGAAACTTCTAATTTTTAATATTAAATCAATTTGGGTTACAGTGGTAATGTAAACGGAGAGCTATTTGTCATATATTTAAAGTATGTAAACTATGTGTATGTGTTTGTGTATACAAGCTTTATTGTACTTGCCATCTTTTAGCTTTGTTTTTTATGCTTTAGGTCAGAGGTCTCCAACCGTGGCCACTTTAAGACTTGTGGACTTGTGGACTAACTCCCAGAATTTCCCAGACAGCTATGCTCATCATCTAATAAAAGCTATGCTGGCTGGGGAATTCTGGGAGTTGAAGTCCACAAGTCTTAAAGTTGCCAAGGTTGGAGACCCCTGCTTTAGGTTTTGTTGTAATTTCTTTGATTGTTGTAAATCCCCCCAGAGTCACTGACGGAGTCAGTTCAGTGGCATACAAGTTTAATAAACTATTATTATATATCATGTAAACATAGAAGAATTATGCAGTTGAGCACATTGCCAGCTAACTGTTCTGTTTTGTTCTGTTTTGTTCTACCCTACCCTACTCTATTCTATGTCATTTCATTTTCCCCAACAAGTAAACAAAGCTACCTTTTATAGTTTGACATTGAACACTTCCAGAGAATCCCTGAGTTAAACATGCAAGTAAAAATAACGCTTGCCAGTTCTGTAAGTTTTTGAGTTCAGCTCACTTGATTCAATTCTGCAACTTTTTTTTTTTTTTTACTCCTGGCCATCATCTCCATTCAACATAAAATACATTGATTCCTATGGTGCACTTTTGACCATCAAAATAATAGTATCCTTATTTTGGACCCATAAGAAATTCTTTAGCATATCTGCTATCCCTCCCATAAAGAGATGCAATATAGAAAAAGGGCTTTAACTGGTATTTGGTTTCTCATTCCGAGAAACACAGAAGTTCTAAAAAAAAAAGAAAAATCTTGTAACATATTTGCAAGATACATCTCCAAGTTTAGAAGTAAAATGTTGCAAGCAAGAGGAAATGTCCCTATTCTGAGCACCGGGACAGAACACTATTAGATACAGGTACTTCACAACTTATAACCACAACTGAGCCCCAAATTTCTGTTGCTAAGCAAGACAATTGCGAAGTGAATTTTGCTCCTTTTTACGACCTTTCTTGCCACAGTTGTTCAAGTAAATCCCTGCATTTGCTAAGTTAGTAACATAGATGTTAAGTGAATTTCGCTTTCCTGTTGACTTTGCATGTCAGAAGGTCACAAAAGGGATCACACTGCAACTATCACAAACCAGCTGACAGGCATACAAATTTTGATCACCTGACCCTGGGGATGCTGCAAAGATCATAGCTGTGAAAAGCAGCCATGTCACTTTTCAGTGCCACTGTAACTTTGAATGGACCGTTGTAAGTCGAGGACTGCCTGTATATTCCTAAGGAAACTAGATTATGGTTAAACATGAGTCTGCAAGATCTGGTAGACTGATGAATCCTTAAGAATAATTTTATAGTTCATTTGCTGCACTGTAAAATAGAAATAATATCACAATTTAAATTCCATCAAATATAGGCAAGAAAAATAAAACAAGGTACTTTTTTATTGAATGTCCTAAATATAACTGAGAAGACAATTGTGAATAACTATCAAGTTTTATGTTTGGTTGATATTTCTTGGAGTTCTGCATCCGTAGATCTCTTTTCAGCTGGCACTTCAGGACCTATTTTGGAACAAAAGCTACACTGGAATTTTGAGCTTTCTTATTTATTTATTTTTCCAAAGATTTTTTATTGTTTTTTGACATACAAACAAACAGACAAAACATAAAAACATCAGCTCCCCCATATTTATATACAAACAGTGAGTCGGTTGGTTCATCAGTTTTGTGCACTCATCTCATAGTCACAATTGCAGTTACCTTGTATAATAACTCTTATTGTCAATACAAACTTATAAATCATAATATCACTATTAAAAAAAGGAATTTGACTAGACTTTTGTACGATCATGCCTTTGTGAGATAACTATATTTTAAATAATTTATTCTAAAACAAATCATATAATCGTGCCAATTCTATCCCAAATAAGAGAGAGAGAAAAAAAAAGAAACAGAAAAATATTATATAAATATAATATCCAGTACCAAAAAAGAGAAAAGAAAAATAGAATCAATATTATTCCTTATTATCTAACATTTCTATTTTTGTATTTCATCATTCAACCATTGATAGAAAAGATCCCAAACTATATAAAATTGTTTATCTTCTTGCTCTCTGATTTCAAAAGTCAATCTACTCATCTCAGCACATTCCAATATTTTCTTTATGACTTCTTCCTGCAATGGAATTTTCTCATTTTTCCAATTTTTTGCAAATACAATCCTAGCCGCAGTCAATACATTTACAATCAAATATTTCAAATCTTTACTATAAACATCTGGTAAGATTCCCAATAGGAAAAGCTCCGGTTTCAAATCTATATGCTTCTTTGTCATTTTTTCCAACCACATGCGGATTTTAGTCCAATATTTTCTAGCATCCTCACAAGTCCACCACATATGGTAGTATGAACCAGGTTTCTGATGACATTTCCAACATTTTTCGGATTTGTTCTTGAACATTCTTGCTATCCTTGTCGGAGGAAAATGCCACCTGTAAAGCATCTTATTCTTATACAAGTTTTCTTTATAGGCTGTGGACATTGTCATTTTATAGTTTGCACCCATAATTTCTGCCATTTCTCTAAGTCAATCCCATATCCAAAATTCCTCCCCCAAGCAATCATAGTTGAGCTTTCTTATTAAAGTGAGTGGGTTCCTATGGATTTTCAGTCTGGGGAAGTTGAAATCGGGCAGGTAAGAGAAATGAGTCCCAAAGGTGCTTCTTCAAGAGGCAAAACATCTCATTGAACTGAGATGTCTTCAAAGAAAAGCCAGAAAGCCCAGTTGCCTCTTGAAGAAGCACCTTTGGGACAACCATCACTTGTGGACTTCAACTCCCAGCTGGCTGAAGAACTCTGAGAGTTGAAGTCCACAAGTCTTAAAGTTGCCAAGGTTGGAGAGCCCTGACCTGGATGACTGAGAATTTCCATAGACAATTAAGAGAAACGAGCTTCCCTCTTCCTTCTCTGTCTTTAGCTCATCTAATGGGCTGAAAAGACAAGGGATGACGTTTCCCATTGGGACTTGGTGGCTGTGTCCATTTCCCTTTCCTCTTTGACAGGCTTGATAGGAAAACGCAAGAAATGTCTCCTTAGATTAGGACATGCAAGCTCCCCCCCCCCCCCCCCGCCCCATTCTACTTGCTCCTCCATGGCCATTGCGACCTTGGGTTGACTGCACAGCCTTCCCCGCTCTCCTTCCCTGTGAGAGAGAGAGGGCAAGATAGCAGGAGAACAAGGCTCTTAACCCAAATAGCCATCTCTGCCTATTCACGCTCTTTCTCTCTCTTCTCTCTCTCTCTCTCTCTGCCAAGGCTGAGGAATTCGCAGGCCTTCGGGGCCCCATTGCAAGAGCCTTCCCGGCAACGCCGTCCCAGGCAGCCAACCAATGGGGAAATTGGCAGCCCGGCGTGCCTGGTGGGCACCAGATAGGGGAAGGGTGGCCCTAGGCACGGCAGCAGACGCCGCAATCCCCGCCTCCTCCTCAGGGCTGCCCGAGGTCAAACTTTTGCGCCTCGCCATGTGCCTCTTTGCGCTCGCTCTTTAAGCGAAACGGGCGGCTGAGGGCTCGGCAACAGGCGCCCAAAGAAGGTGGTGTGGTTGTGAGCTTTTAAAGGGAAGGCGGAGAGAGAGAAAGGCGACGCAGAGCTCCTGTCAGCCAAGCGAGCAACGGGAACGACCGAGAGGTTCCCGCTATTCTCAACAGGGCGCCGCTCAGCGCGCAGGTGGGCGAGGCCGCCCGGCCGCTGGCCTCGCCTCGCTCTCTCTTTTTCCCCCGACGCCACGCGCGAAGTCCCCGCAACCGGGGTTTTATAACCCTGCCGGCTTCTCTCCCAGGAAGAGACCAATAACCGGAGGGGACTCCGCCTGGCTACCCGCCCCTCCGAGCTGGGCGGGGAAGCGATGTGTGTGTGGGGGGGCGGGGCGGGTGGAGGGTGGAGAGGGGCGGCAGCGGAACGGGGAGCTCGCGCGCGTGTGACATTTGGGGAGAGACCTCCGCCGGCGGAAGACTTCCCTGCGCTTTCCTCGCCCCCCGCACCGTCCTACCTCAAGAGCATCATCCGACGAGGCTTCCTGTTTGACCACGGAGCTCAGCTCAGAACCGCTCGGCGCGGGAGAAGGAAGGTTTCCTGTTGCTGTTGCTCCTGCTCCTGCTGCGGGTGCTGTTGCGTGGCTGGGGAAAGCGGACTCTGGACGGTGAGAGAGAAGTTGCTTTGGAAAGAGGGCAGTTGGCGCCTTTGGCAGCCGGAGGAAAAGAGCCTTTCCCCTCCCCTCCTTCCCTCCCCTTCCCCTGACTTTCTTTTCCTTCCTTTTGTTGCCGGTCTCGTAGCAGGGGAGAGATTCTCTCTCGCTCGCTCTCGCTCTCTCTTTTTGGGGGGAAAAGATGCACACGACGCAGAAGGACACCACCTACACCAAGATCTTCGTCGGGGGTCTGCCCTACCACACCACGGACTCCAGCCTCCGGAAGTATTTCGAGGTCTTCGGCGAGATCGAAGAAGCCGTGGTCATCACCGACCGGCAGACGGGCAAATCCCGGGGATACGGATTTGTAAGTCGAAAGGGACCGCCGGGCGGTGAGGGGGGGACGACGACGACGACGACGAGCGCGGAGAATGAGGTGGTCGTAGTCGCTGAATAATGGCGGGAGAGAAGGCAGTGCTGGGGAAGGGGACAGTAATCCCTCAGCCCCGGTGTCTCTCTTTCCCCTCAAAAAGGAGGCTTTGAAAAGATTGTGACCATTTGGTTGGAAGGCAGACAAACGGTACATTTCCCCCAAACTTAAGCCACGGGGTAAGCGAGGCACTTAAGAAAAACTGCCTATCAACTGAGGGGGTCCCACGATTAGTACACTACTGACTCCAGGTGTTGTGGGGATATTTTGTGGGGTGATAACTTTTTTCTCTGAAGTCTGTACTGTGAGCGCTAGGGATATTGGCTTCATGGCTGCATAGGAAAACTTGCTAATAAAGTTCTGGCCTTGAATGAAGAAGCCAGCTGGCTGCAGACTGATAGGACATGTTCATATTTTTATCTACAGTGGCACATGCTACTGTGTCACTGGCTTGGAGTGCTGCAAACTTTCTGTGCTCCTGTTTAGGGAAACAGAGAATGCTTCGAATAGAACTGCATTTTTAAAAAGTGTTTATTGTATTAATGTCACACATACACGCACGCACACACACACACGCACACACACACACACACACACACACACCTATCTCTAAAATTCCGACACTGAAAGATACTGCCTAGTTGTATTTTCATTTGGGTGAAGGGAGTTTATTTATTTGTTTATTTAATAGGTCACCCAAACACCCATAGGCAGCTTACAACTAAACAATATGTAAAAGAATGCAACCAACTGTAAAAGCAAAATACCAAAACAAAACAAAAAGGGAACTCCCTGGTCATCCTAATCTGAAAGAGTCCATCAGAAAGAGTATTGTTTTACGATATCTGGAAGGTTGTTTTGAGGGTTGCAGTTTTGATACCTTTGCTGTTTACTATCAAGGTGACAATGGCGGATCGAGCTGCTGCTGAAAGGGCCTGCAAAGATCCTAATCCAATCATTGATGGCAGAAAAGCTAATGTGAATCTTGCATATCTGGGAGCGAAACCAAGAATTATGCAGCCAGGTAATAACTGTGATTATTATCTTCTAATTTTAGAATGAGTGGTTTGCAAATGAACAGCCAAAAGTTCTCAAAGAACATAGTTCTGAAACATTGTATCATCACCCAATTCTGTGGTTTTAATAATGGCCAATTCATGTTGAGGATACTTTGTGTCAACGCAATACAAAACTTGCGTATTTCTGGCTCAACTATAAGAATTATGTCCAAGAGCCATAATGTCATGTGATTTGCAGAATGTGGGGCAGAGCTCCCCAGAACTGACATAAAATATTTGGAGTAGATGAAAGGGGGATAAGTTACTTTTTCCCAGGTATATGTACATGCTCCGTGTAGAAAATATGGACAATGAAGCAGCCAGAAAACTTTCCTTCTTAAAAAAATTGATTGTACCTTTGACTTGCTATGGAAAACCTCCATGTGTGCACTACAAGTGTAGTTCTAGTTGTGTGAAGAAGTTCTTGCATAGTCCCTTTCTAAATACTTGACTGATAGAAGTCCAGGAAACCGAAAGTGGAAATTTAGAAATCACTAACTTGAGAATGTAGAAAATAATATCACAGCCTCATGCAAAACCAGGTGATTTCTATAGGTTATTACCTCAAATAATGTACACAGGATTATGGTCTCTCTATTTATTGTGTATATATATAGGGAAAATTAATGTATATAGTTCTTTCAAATATTCAATTTCTTTTTTGGTGAATCACATGTGATGTCCCTCTTTAATTGAAGAGTCTAATTAATGGGACTAAGTATTTAATTGATAAGAGAGTCCAATTAAATGAAGAGTCATTCTGTTGTATGTGACTCAGAATATAAGTTTTCTTTTAATTAATATTTCTAGTACAATATTTGGCAGCATCTGTAGTCAACGTTTGATTTCTAAGAATCATCAAAAATAAATGCTTCAAAATGAAACCTGGAATAGCTTCCAGTTTCTTTGTGAAACCTATCTTATTATTTACAATAATAGTCAGCAACCTATTCTGGCACCATATATAACACTGTAATGTCTCCTAGGCATCTCAAAAACAAACCAAATTTTGTAAAATCAATAATTGCAATAACTTTTGATTAATAAGTTTACATTAATTTGTGGAGCAACAGACATCATTGGTGTGTGTAGTTTCTGTGTTGCCAAACGCTAACTTTCTGAGTTATTTCATTTGTTCATTTATTTGATATTTCTTTTTATCAACATTGTACTCCTGAAGTACTATGCTCTTTTTTTTTCCAGCCAGGCTAGCGTCAACTTATTTATGGAAGTTTTTTTTTTTCATTACTAAAATCAGCCTCTAAACAAGATCAACATGTTTTCTGTTCATCACTGAAGTAACTAGGAATAACCACGGTCAATCTCTACCCCACATTTACATTACCTCTACATTTAAACTCAAGATAAACAATTTGAAATTAAATAGTGGAATTTAGGGTTTTTTCAGGAAAATGAACAAATTATTATTAAAATTCAGTGGGTATAGACTTTTTAATAAAAAGTCACATGTATGTACTCTTTAACTATTATTGAGGACCTCTCCTACTGAAAGTCATCCCCATTTACTTAGAAAATTATATGTTTAATCTTAATTCGTTTGCATCGATTAATCCTTTTAATCCTAGTTATTCATTATAAATATATTATGGAATTGTTTAGAAATCATTCTAAAGCATTCACAAGATGGCCACCCTGTTCCATTCTACTTTCTAACTTACCTTATTTCTGTTAATGTTAATATACTTAATTTTTTAATATTTTCTATTTTTGCTTTTTTTTATGATGTAAGCAACCCAGAGTTGCTTGGCAGTGGAATTAACTTCATATAAGTTTAATAAATAAATAAAACAATAATGCAAAGATACAGGCTGTTATTATGAATACTAAAGTTAAATGAAAGCTAAAAATAAATTGTCAGTTATTTTGTCTTTATATTTAAGTTCTAAACGAGGAAGTACCTTCAACTATTATGGGAATATATAGTATTGTATGTATATCAACTTTTAGCATTGATTCAATTCAGTCTCATACCAACCCTTTGTTCATTTTTTTGCTATACTGGTATGTTGCTCATTCTATACAACAGTTGTCAATTGGAGTAATTGATTCCATGAATTGCTAAATCAGAATTAGAACTCATTCATTTGATACACATTCACAAGCCATGGTTTGTACAAACTATGATTTGGAACAGTGAATTACCAAGTAATTTTTTTATGTAACAAAATTACCTAAATTGAGGGAATAATAAACTGTAGTATATTACATTTAAATAAACGCAAATGACATTAATTTAAATTTGCTTTTTATCCTGACTATATACAAGTCTGGAGCAAATACAGCATTAGTTTAAAAAAAGGTTGTTTACTTCTGGTTTTGCTAATAGTTTATTGAAACATACCAGGATCAAGCCAATTTGGTACAGATAAAGGATCCCAATCTTCCAGCCTCAGCTAAGAGATTGGGAACATGAACATCACTTTTTTCTTTTGTCCTTCCATCATTGGTTTTAACTATGATGTGGCATTGCCTCTTCACTGTCAAGAACTAACCAGATTAACACATAATAATATGATTCAGATTCAATCAGTTATTTGGCAAAACTTCCTCTAGTTATATCAAAAAATTCTATATTCCAGCAGAAAATCTTATGAGATTTCACACATGACTGCAAGCTCATGAAATTTCAGTAGAAATGTTTGGGGGGGAAAGGTTTTGGGGAAGGTAGGCCAATGTACAAGAGTTCCCAGGCCTGCCAGGTATTTGACAACCATATTTAAAGCAATCCCTAAAAGGGCAACAGAAATTTGTACAAAGACATCTATACAAAAGAATTGTACAAAGAGGAAGCGTCAAATACAGCAACCAAGTTTAGGACTAAGAACATTACGTGTGCCCCAAACTAATAATGTATGAGAAATAACAAATCTTTCTCCTCAGGTATAATATTATGAATATTGTTGAATGAAAAGATTACTATTAAGGCTGTGAACACATTTAAAAAATGATTCAGAGGAAGCACGGTACTTTTCTGCTACTTGGTAAAGCAGTCTGATTTTTTTGAGATTTTTTTAGTATGTTTAGGGGGGTCGGTGTGGTTGACTCAGTGGTTAAGATGCTGAGCTTGTCAGCTGGAACACTGACAAGTTCGAGAGTTGAGCACCATGTGATAGGGTGAGTTCCCATCCTTTCCCCAGCTCTTGCCAACTTAGCAGTTTGAAAACATGCAAATGTGAATAAATAGGTACCACTTCAGAGTGGGAAGATAACAGCACTCCGTGATTTCATGCTGGCCACATGACCATGAAAATGTCTTCAGAGATCACTGGCATAATGGCCTTAAAATCAGCACCACCCCCTTGAGTTGGCAACAACTAGCAGAGTAAAATCTGCAGGAACTTTTATATATATATATATAAAATCTGCAGGAACTATATATATATATATGAACTGACTAGTTAAAAGTTGCAGCCTTTATTTCACATGTGAAGAAAGGTTTGTGTTTCAGTGATTTGTTATTAAATTTATTTGCTGCCCATCTTGCGGTTCAAGTCAACTCTAAGCAGCAAATAAAAGTGAGGCTCTATTTACACAAGCTGAAAAGTAGTTCTTCCAAATTTATTTTCAAATTGTGCAAAAGCTCAATGAAGGAGAATATTTGCAACTCAGGGTTGAAAAGAGGGTCTTTGGTGCTTTCTGATGATGATATCCTGACTAGTACTGATAATGTTACCTAGTTTGGGTAATGAAACATCTGCAAGAAAACAACCAAGTTCAGAGAGTATCAAGGATCCTTTATACAAAGTTTTGCTACTATTTTAAACTTTCTTGTATATACCAGCCATATTAATAATTTTGGACCATGTTCAATCATGTATTTTTAATACTAGAAGCAGCAAAATAACAGAATTATTGTTTGGCCTCTGTGCCTTGAAAACCAGGGTTATAAAATGAAACAAAATGCATTAGTGTATAAAACATTTTCATGAAAGGTAAGTTACATTTTACCTGCTTTTAAGAATGATCCCAGGATAGTATTTATTATAAATCTTCAACGCTTTGGTTATTGATGTGGAAGTCCCATTTAATTTCACAAACTTTAATTCTCCATAGAGAGGTAAAAGATTGCCAACACGAAGTAACAATGGAACGGAAGGAGTACCAATATACAGTTTGTGCTTTGTTTCGTTTATAGGTTTTGCCTTTGGGGTTCAACAGCTCCATCCAGCCTTAATTCAGAGACCCTTTGGGTAAGTCTCCTCTAAACTTGGGTTTGTTTGTTTTCTTTGCAGTGGGAAACAGATAGCCTATATATGTTAACGTCCTTTAATGTGACTGCTGGCAATAAAATTATTACTTTTTTGTTTCAAACATGCAGATTTAAAATGCCCTCACTTCCTTAATGGTTTTCAAATAAGTGTTAAAGATCCTGCACTGAAGCAGTCCTGTGTGGATAAGAATGTGGGGAAACCAGGTCTGCCTATAATCAGCACTCCAGTGTACCCCCAACAATATATACATATTTCTAAAGCTAAACTCAATGTTATTTATCTCTTTCTAATCTGACAGGGATCGTTTACAGTTAAGATAACTGATGAGAAGGATATGAGGTGGAATAGTTCTGTTTGGAATTAAACTCTGTAACCAGTAGACTCAAAACACACAAACAAGCTAAAATGGTGATTAACGATGCATGTATGTTTTCTTTCTATAGTCCATAGATATCAGTGTGGTTTTATTTATTTATTGATTGATTGATTACAGTAATGAAGTGGTGTTGATAGCTAAACTGTGTGCTTTTGTTTAATTGAAAGAGCTGTAGTGAAAGTTTTTGGTGGCTTTTCCATTTTGGTTTTGTTGAGGAGTGTTGACTTTGCGAAGGGGAGCAAAAGAACCTCTTTTTTCCCTCTTGCTTTCAAGCTGTAGCCTGCGACTTATTTATCTTCTTTTTAACCACATTTTGTAGTGATTGCTAAATTTGTGTGATACCATTTTATTTTCTTTTTTTTAAAAAAAAGAAAGCTCAACATTGCTTGCATGTTACATTTTTTTTGTTTTGTACTTTGGGAAGGATGTGGAGCTTTGTGTTATTAACAATATGCGTCCACTTGCACTTTCCCATTAATGATTTTGTTTTCATCAGCTTTAACTTACAGTATTCTTTAAATATGTGCTACTTTTAATAGACCTTTGTTTTTGTTTTTAATTCAACAATTCAATATGAAAATAGAAAAGGAATCTGCTTGAACTCTCTTTGTGCTCTTTTTCTCCTTGCTAATCCTTGCTAAGTAAAACTTAAGGTGAAACTGGAGAATAGTTTTGAAATACTATAACTTATTACCATGAAACACTAGCAGCAATAATTGTATTTAGCCAGCTGAAGACTGAAAAAGACAATGTCTGGATTTACATATTATTGCATTCGCACAACGCACTGAGCTATAAACTAGCCAACCACTTTTTAGTCAAAAGCCATAAAATGTGGTTTACAAACTATCATTGCTGAGCTCATTTATAATGAACAACATTATGATTTGGTGTGATGTGTAAATCCAATCTGTGAGTTGATGCCCTACAGAGGAACTCTGATGATAGGGGCCTGGGCTATAATGGAGACAGGAGAGAGAGAATTAGAGAAGTGCAAAATGTTGTGCCCTTTCAGAAGCAATTTTCACTGATTTGGTGTCCGCAGATAAATCTAACATATTTACAGGATTGGGAACTAGAACAATAGAGACTGTTGGGAAAAGTAAAATTTTCTGGCCTTTCATTCATAGGATCATATTTCTGGAGTTTTGTGTGATGCAACACTGGATCCAGTTCATTTGCCTGTGATTATATGTAATTTTCTTGATAGTTTTTAAATGCTTTAATTTCCCCAACTATTTGCCAACTTAGGGGAAGTAAAGATATAGAAATGTTAAATTTGTCTGCCATTAATAGAAAAGCTAAGTGCATATATAGGAGGAACAAGGGAGTATATACATAAGATAAAGACTTCAAGATAGAAAGCTAAATAGATTTATAATCATACAAACTCTCCTTCTTAATCTTAATCACATTTTTCTTTTTGAATACCAATAAGCAACAGTGCATATCTGTTAAGAATACACAAGATTCTGCTTCCAAAAATTATATATTAACCGTGTAACCATGTCTTAAATTGGCTTTTTCATTTCTCTTAAGGACAAAACTTTTAACGTTTTAGCTGTTCATCAAAATAAACGCCTACCTACTCCCTTAAGGAGTGTTACTGTTCTAAATCAAATATTTATACAGCATAATTTACCAAAACAACTGATTTAACTAAACAGATAGAATGAGAAGAATATTATTTTCTATCATTCTGACAGGTGTCACAAGACTATTTTCTCTTAAAAATCTAGAGAAGCCCCTCCCACTACCACCATGAGCGAAGTGTGCAAAAAAGAGGATTTTTTTTTTCCTCCCACATCGGCTCTCCTGACACTTGCTATTATTGTGAAATTGCAGCTTCAGGAGGACCATTCATGCTGGGATCATAGTATGGGAGGAAAGATTAATTTCTCTTCCCTGCAATGTAGCTTGGCATTCAGCCAGTCTATTGAGAAAGATAACAGTTTTGCAAAAGGCCGGTGTTTTGTAAAAGAGGGAAATTCAACAAGTGTAGTTTGGCATACAGCCATGGAGATGAAAAGCCAAAAACTATGTAGTCAAAGGAACTACTATAAGTAACAGCATAGTTTTGATACTTCTGTATCAAAAGTTAACTCCTCTAAATTTAATAGAAATTGCTCCTTAGTAAATAAGTGACTAAAGAAATACTTCAAATATCTCAAATTGATATTTTAGCTACGTTGCAGTCCATAACTTATGGTCTTCTGTTTTGTCCATTTGTACACTGTTCAACAGTTCATCTACATTATGTAGATGTTGCAGATGCTTACATTGATTTAGTGGCATATTACAGTGCTGTGATAGTCAGCATTCCTGAATATCTATTGTGTGTTCATCCAGTAAAAGTGCCAGCTATAGAGTATATGATTTCATATTTCTAGAACCATTTCTCCATTGTACTGAATGGAATGGTGATATGTGGCCTCAGAATTTTTTTGCACACCAACTAATGTTGCTGTGCTCCAAAACAACTGTCAGATTGCAAGCATTACAGTATAACAATAAACAAAAACAATATTATAAAAATATGTAGGATGGGGTAAGCCTCAATAAAGATTTTATGATATAATGAGTATTTCAGAGATAGTTTTTCTTAAGATAAATTTCAAAACATCTGCTGTCTAGGTGGTATTATAGTATGCAGAGATAATGATGGATCTTGATATAATATCTTTTTCTGATAAGATGAAGCATCTGGGTTGCAAATATCCAGATGACTATTAGATGACAGCAAATAAATACCAAAAACCCAAACTCTTTGTTATCACCTAATAGTCACCAAAATCACTGGAGATGGATATAGTAGCCCTATTTTGCATCTATGTTCTCCAATCCATTGTTTTTGTCCTAATGGTTCCATTGTTCATCCATTGTTCTTGTCATATATGGCTAGCCATATATTTATAAAATCTTTATCCAGTTTTATCTTGCTGTTTCATCACTAAAAACAATCCTATTTTATTCTAGGAACTTTTAAATATATAAAACTTTATTTGCTCAGAATTTTATTATTTCTTGGAATATATGTGCAAAATGGCAATTGCTCCACATGATGGCCTGTTGGATTTATTTGAATATAGTACGAGCTGTTCAAAACCTCCCTCATCCCTTCTGGATGTGCCTGGATATGTTAATAATCAAAAGCGGTAATAAAGTTTACCTACTATAATTTAGGGTTACTTTATTTTGGAAAACAATCTATCCTTTACCTGGGTCTTAAACTGGTTTTTAAAAATAACTTTATTAGGAACAATGACATATTTTTAAAATTCAACATTTTTTTTTAATCCAGGGGCTTTCTTTTCTCTTTCTGATTTCTTCATTTAATGCCTACATTTGGATGTTACAGAAATATGTGGTTCCTTGTGACAAAAATAATACTTTAAACTATACGAATCTGTGTTACTTCATGGAAGTAAGCCAATGTGTTGATGGGTCAATCTTTTCCCTACCCCAAATCATAATTACATGATGGTTTGGCTGTATCTTCATACCAATTAAGTTGGCTGCATTAACTCAATAACCACTAAACAATGTTTACAAACAATAAGAAAGTTATGCACTGTGGTCACCTCAGATTACATAGCCAATGATGATGTAAACAGTTTGCTCCCCCCACCCCCTATCACCAGTAATTCTCCTAGTTACCTTTCCGGAGGTTGCTCAGCTCTGGATTATTATTATTTTTTACACTTTTGTAAAAACAAAAACCCCAAATGCAGACATCCTGTATCCTGAATGGAATCAGAACTGCTGAAAGCAGGATGGGAGAAGTGTAATTCCTCCCTTGTGTTCTTTGTTTCCCAAAATAACTTCCTGCCAGCCCTGAAGGGATGGAATACAAACCAGAGCAGCAGAGATAAAACTGAAGCAACAATTTGGGGCTACTCCTGCAGCCATGCTAGATTTTCAGTGGTTGTAAAAATCTAAAGCAGTACAGTGGCATGATTGTGAATAGGTGATTGAGTTCAACAGATTTGATAAGGCTTTCTGCTTTGTTGAGCTTCAAATATTGACACAGGTTTCCTTTCATGTATGGACAAAGCAGGGGAAGGGTGTTGACTTGGTACGATGGGCTCATATCATGAGTGTTGTCTATAAGAGTGCCAGGGAGATTCATGCTCTGCTTTTTGTGTCTCACACATTGCTAGAATCAAGACAGGTTTATTTGAAGGAAGACACAGAGATAGAACGACTCAGATTTATTCACTGAATGAGTCAGATCATGTGCTTGCTAGTAGACTTTTTACAATTTTTATTTTACATTATTTATATGTTGCCCACATTGAAAGATTCTCAGTAGCACACAGCAAATAAAAATATCACATTAATTATCACCAAAATAAAATAATAAATTCAGAGGTAATTATCTCTCACTCTGAAATGCTGTGGACTTCATAATCTCCCAGTGCAACTTATAGAATTGGGCATTGAAGCAGGCTCCAAGCCAATGAAATTCAGTGATTTGATGCCAAGCCAATGAAATTCAGTGATTTGATGCTTAATTGAGTTAATTAAATTTGACTCATTGGAAAACAGGTGGAACCGACATCCAATTCTTCTGCAAATAATACATTCGAAAGTAAAAATAAAG